CTTACAGTTCAATGAGACAATCGACCGCATGATATAGGATTGGGCAGGCTCGATATTTGTTAGTAACCTTCTGGATGTCTGACTCTTAACAGGGCCACATAAATGCACTGCTATTGAAAGAAAGTTCCTTAATTTTTCTTCAAATGTAACGAGTTTCTCGTCCATATCCCTGGCTCTTATTTTGCCAAGGTATCCCTATTCTTTCCCATAATGTTTCGATGGCGCTCAGGACATTGGTGTGAATTGTTCCCTTCGTTGAAAGCGCGCCATGCTGTCGAAACCACTCCTTCACAGTAGAGGTGCAATGCTTTTAATCGCACTATTGCTTCAGTACAGTACAGTTGCTACACGTGTGGATACACAGCACTACCTGAAATACAATGGTATGCGTCCGCCTGAATCACTCATCGACTCCTCTACAGTAGTCCAGCACCTTCCACAGACGACCATAACCGACCCTTCGCCTTCCTTCCCCAAAAGTAGTATTTACTCTCGTCGCTCCTGATGACGTTTAGCCCTGTTGGGATCTCAAGTTCAGGCGTGCGTAAACCCATTCTTACCTTTTCGCAGTCGAACAACTTCACAGGATTTGCGAAGTGTAAAGGGAGACGTATACAATTAGCGCCTAGAGGCCGATGTCATAGTTTGCGAATCGAGCGATTCGCTAGCGAATTAAACTATCACATCATCCAGAAGGTGCTGTGGATCCTCTCGTACGGCATAGTACTGTTCTGTCTTCGCCTTCTAGCAATAGAGCGATCAGAAGCATCGCATCTCTACTTGAAGGAGTAGTTTCGACAACATGGTGTGAGTATAACTCAAGGGCCAATTCAATGCATGGTCTTGTGTGTCATCGAAGCACTATGGAAAAGGGTAGGAAAAGCTTTGGCAGAAAGAGATTCGGGAATATTGATGAGAAACTTGTCAAATTTGAAGAATCTTAGAGGTTGTCCCAATAGACGGTGCATTCATCGACAGGTAATTCCACATTTGGGCTCTGTTGAGGTCACAACAACTCAAAGGGTTATAGGCAAACTATTGAATATGTTCGATATTTTTACCATGCTGGAGATTGTTTTGTTTAATTGTAAGTTCTTTACTATAATTTGAAATTTACTTAGGATTTGCTCGTACTCGAGACTATGTTGTGTTAGGTTGTCTCGTAAGTAGTGTCGTTTTTTTTTCAACCAAAAAATTTTCACCTAAACCCCCATGCTTTTACATTGTGTCGTATACCATTCGAAGAAAAATTGTCTGCTTTATCCTTCCACCTCTGTTCCAGTGTTTTCAAATTTCAAGCCTGGGAAATGAGAAGTCTAGCCGACAAAAATTGACCAAACCGACAACTTTATCTTTCCTTGGGAGAAATCAATCAATGATGCGTCCTATACTTATACATGACCTCTTCTGAAAGGGAACAAACATGACCTCTTCTGAAGGGAACATCAAGTTAGAGCTAGTTGTCGGTCTTGGTCAATTTTTGTCGGCTGGACCTTCCATTTCGCAGACCTAAAATTTGAAAACGCTGGAATGGAGGTAGAAGGATAACATAGCATCTTGTAGAGCAGACAGTTCTCTTTCGAAAGGTATACGAAACGATCCACATTATTGTTTTATATATTTACTCAATAGTTGTTTATCTGCTTTGTTTTTTGTTATATGACGTGGTGTAAAAGGGTGAGAATTTACAGGAAAACTTTTTGTTTGAAAAAAAGCGACACTAAAATTAAAAAAAGGGAAAAATTAGCACTGAAAACATGGTGTACTGGTCGTGCTCAATGGGGTCGTGGAGGACCCCATATCCATTACGACGTTTTCTAAAAGCGGGTTCCGAGGGGTTTGCGTATTCAGAGCTAATGTTTCTAGGAAACTATCCAACGATGAATCGATTGAAAAAGATGAGTAACGGCGCTCGGGCCTGAGCATATTCTGTATGGCAGGGTCAACCCTGCGTTGCGCAAAGAACAACGAGGGGGTCGTATTCAGCCGACCGAAAAGGGAGGGGGTCGTATCCACAAACGGGCTGCAAGACGGCTTGAAAAGTGCAGTGTCCGGGAGTGCACTTTCAGCCTCTAATGTTCTCCAGGAGCTCTGCACGCTGTCGGAGAGTCACACAGACATGAGCTCCATGGGAGCATTAAAGCATGCAGAGCACTATAAGTCTCACCATCAGCTTATTATCCTTAAGCGACGCTATCCGGACGGCGCTTTTGCTCCGTGGGCATGGATAAAGAGTACAATAGATCCCCCAAGTGAGCCAAAAACTTTATGTTACAGTGCAAGAAACATGTGTTGTCTTCGATATAAAACTTCTGAACTCCTGAAAGTTAGAGCAGTTCATCGGGAAAGTGAATAGCAAGAGTGCCTATACTAACAGCACAGTACAACTCACAATTCAAACAATACAAACATTTCGAACCAATTTCTGCCCCACAGATAGGTGCACGGCGTATACCCGAGCAGGCGTTTTCCATAAAAACGCCTCCTCTGTCAGCGGCCGTAAGCAGACAAACTTTCTGAAGAGAGTTTTGATGCTTTCAAATAAAATCTAAGCGAAACAAAGTGTAGCGAATTTGCTGAATTGAGTTCTAGAGACGCCGTAGGAAAATTGAGGCAGCAGAAGAAGGAATTTCAGGGAAATTTCACAGTTGTTATGAAGTACTCTTCGAGTGGATTCCAACAATCTTTACCGCTTCTCATCACATTAATTTCAAAGGAAGTTATGGGCCTTTGAAGACTGCATAGTCGCGGTCCAGGAAAAAGGCTTGAAAAAAATCAAGGTGGAATTGACGGAACAACGGGACTATTTTTTGAGCGAGTGATTATTTCAAGAAGTTTTAGCACTTATTCGAAAGCTCTAATCCTCTAGTTTCTAATTAGCCTTAGACATCTGCAAAATGTTGAGTATGAAGAAAGTTATTAACGTTTGAATGTCGAAAACTCGCGCCTTCTCAAAAATCGGACCCCAAACCACCCAAGAACGGAACAACGGGACTATTTTTTGAAAAAATGATCGCTGGAAAATTTTCAGGTGCTTGTTCGAAAGCTCTAATCTTCTAGTTTCTAATTAGCCTTAGACATTTGCAAAAAGTTGATTATGAAGAAAGTTATGAATGTTTGAATGTCAAAAACTCGCGTGTGCACAGAAAACGGAACAACGGGACGATTTTTTGAAATATTGAACATCCACAACATTTCAAATACTCCTCAGGAAGAAAACTATTTATATTTTCAAAATTTTGGTGTCCGATTTCATGAAACAGCTTCTGAAAGAAAATATAACCTTCTGAATGGAGGGGTTTGGATTGCAATGTAATTGCTACAAGGTTTAGTTTTTCAGATTATAAGGTAAGGAAAGTTGAGAGATCGAAAAAATCCTGGTGGGTTTCTGAAAGTAGAAATCTTTACGATTAAAATGATGTATTGGTTTACGCAAAAAATTCCTTCTATTTAATGAATAAAACTTCATTTGCCTCGATTTCCTCCTCTGAGCGAGACAGAGCGCGCGGATTGACCACGGTCCACCACTTCTCCATGTTGGTGACTGCCATCATTGATGAGCATTGATGAGCATTAAATTATGTGAAAGACATGATAGTTAATATGGGGGGTCGTACCGATACCCCCCGAAAAGGAAGGGGGTCGTAAAAATTTTGGAATTTGCGCAACGCAGGGTTGACCCTGCTGGGTCCCCGTGGCTCGAACACGGAATGGCAGGTGACGTAATATTCTGAACGGTGAGAGCAGTGAAGGAGGGCTTGCGCCTGCTGCTGCAGGGGCATTTATTGTGGAACATTTTGCTTGTGCGACCTTCCCGTGTAGCGTGACAGCGACGAAAGAAACAGAAATCGCTTAGAGATGGCGAAGTAGTCAAATGCCCTTTTATTGGCCTCCTTTGTATAGCCTTGTCCTCCCACCATTCCCCCCCCCACTCCCCTCCTCCTGCCTCCAATTCCAAAGAAGAGGTCGTTTTTGGCCAGGGTTAGACTGTGTCGCGCAGGCGCGTAGTATCAGAATCAGTCCATGTAGCAGCTTCGTGGAAGTGGTAGTGGTGATATTGGGGGGGGGAGGGGTGGGGGGAGGAGGTGTCGTATTTCCAAATTTTTCTCGGCGCCTCGTTTGACCCTGCTGCGGAGACATGGTCCTTGAGCGACTCCGCTACCGCTATGGCCACACCGTTCCGCTTGGTGTCTTCTCCATTGTAGTAGAGTTTGACACCTTCCCCGATTTCCCTGGCCTTAGCACCTTTCCATCGCGTCTCCTGAAGGCATAGGACTTGGATTTTCTGCGCGTCATCAGATCAGCAACCTCTCGGGACTTCCCAGTTAGCGATCCTACGTTCAGAGTCCCTTCGAACTAGCTTCTTTGGCCGAGGCCGTTCACTCCTCGGTAGCCCTCGCATACTGACCACAGAACTCGGGCGGGGGTTCTGCGCGCCACTTCCGGGTGACGTCCTAGCTTTATCACTGATTCTTTTTCGACTTTAGACATGTTTGTGTGACGGGGTCTTCATCAGCCGGCCTGTCAACCTGGGCCTGACGCTGGTACTAGAACCATTTTTGCAATTTTTGCAAGGCATGGTTTAGAGCCTCGGCAGGGATCGAACTCGCGGTTTTTCAGAGAGTGCAGACATGAGTCTAACCTCTTAACCACTCGGCATTCCTGCCTTCGGTACAAGTTCTTTGAGGGATGAACTCATTGGCTTGAGCATAGACTTTCTCTCACAATTGGTTACCCGAATCGCAATGTCAGAAATATTTTGAACTACATGTTGCCCTTTTTCGGCAGTCTTACTGCAGCAAGTCCCAATTTTCACCAGTTTTTCGTTGTGAATTCCACCAGATAGTGAATGAGAAATTATGTCTTAAATTTTAATTGTTCCAAAGAAAGGCTATAATTAAGGCCGATACTCTGCGTTGTTTTAGGCGCAAGGTTTGAAAAACATTCGCACGAGCTGTGAGGAGCTTGTAAAGCATTATGAAGATCAGTTCCTCTATCTGATGTGGCATCGTCATCCGATGAAACCGTAAGTGTGATCTGAGTGCTCATATGATCAATATAACTGTGATATTTCAGATCTACGAGTATTGTAATTGGTATGCTGAAAGTCTCTAGAAAGCATCTATACCTTCTTGCTGCTTCTCAGATAGAACGCTACCAAGAAGATCCAATTTGTATTCTCGATTTTTACATTCACGAATCGGTTCAGCGCAAAGGATAATGGGCATCAACTGTTTGATTACATGCTAAGGGTTCGTATAATGTCATAACGTTTCAATCAGTTCTCATGAACTTCCCCCATGTTCGTGAGAACCTTTTTCTGGTAATTCGTGAAATGTGAATTTGGTTGTCAGCTGTCTGTGCGCAACAGCTAAAACCTTTGTAAATGTGGGTCCCACTCTAGAAGCTCAATGGGTTTTTTTGGTAGCGAAATTAGTTGAGGAAATGACTTCGCTAATATGGATGGCTTTCTTGGACTTTTTTTACAGCCGGCTGCACTTCCAAACTATTCTTCGATTCGTGGTTGAGGTAGAATACGTGGCGTATATCAACTAGGTTGATCATGTTGCTTCCTTCTTCCTTACACGTTGAAGACATCGCGTGTTTTGGTATTTTTGTACGCATGGGACAAGAGCAATTTTTCTAGCGCGTCGATCTTCCCTTACAGCGCTCTATTTCAGGTATTCAGTGCACAAAAACGTTAATTACACCGAGTAATTTCAACAGTGATGAGCAGGGTGAATATCGCTTGAGGATTCCTCAACGGCACGTCGAGGATTCTCTGCCCGATCAGACACGATCTCTCGCGCGGACATTCACACTCGCCATGCCGTGCCGTCTGTGCTCTCCGCGCGGATGTTCACTCTCGGCACTACTCTCGCATGGTAGAGAGCTATGGTCGAGGAAATTCCTCGACCGTTATTCACCCTGGTGATGAGAGTGGAGGTTATATCGATACATAACAGCAGGTTTTGCGCAAAAGAAACCATAATGACAACTTACTATTTCTTCTGAAGCACTGACTTTTGCTGAAAATACCTAAAAAGTATTGTCATATTGATTGTTCCGAAAAAAATACATCTCTCGCCATCTACAGCGTTTTGTATTTACTTTTGCTATAATCTCTATTTGTTTATGGCAATAAAACGAAAGCTAGACGTAAATTAAATCAAAAAATTTTTAAGCTTCAGGGAATGTTTGCTAAATTAAAGGAATCTTCGCGGAAAATTCTTGCATTCTTTCTTGACATGAATGTGTCAGTTGTGATCACTGGAAACAGCACACAAAGTTTCACGCATGAAGATTCGGTTTCCGAAGAGAAACAAACGTACAAAAACTACACTCTATGGACAATCGAAGGTAATTCGGGCGGAGCCAAAGGGCATGGAAAGAAGTTGGCCTTTGGCCGGCTACGTATCAGGCGACGCAATGAAAGAATCGCGCGCGATTTCGGAGAGTAGAGACAAATCGATCGATAGAATAGGATGGAGTAGAAGTGTAAGATGTGAATGCAATAAAGCAGAAGGCCAGAAAGAGTTTCTAGTGAAGGCACTCCAAGAACCAAGTGGAAGCATCCCCGTCGCCAGCATTTGTGAAAGACGTCCGTGGGCACTTTGAACGCGTAGCAGCCCTTTCGATTTTTCGAATTTTTTACCAAAACAAAAGCAATATTTCTGTTCTTTTCATTCTTATCGTGGATAATGAGTCTCAAGCCAGTGATTTATGGCTGAAATAGAATCATGATTTTTCCGTGAAGGATTCCTTTAAGGGTATTTTATCATTTTAACGACCATCTGGTTTGTAGTCATTTTAACCCTTTGACGACCGCCGTTATGAATGCGTCACTTCACTTCTTTCTAAATTTTTTCATCAATAATCATTAACTCTCCAACAATTTCACTATTAGTAATTAGCGCATTATTCCGCGAATTCGATGATGTATTTGTGTAGTTTTGAAACATAAAAAATGCCAAAATAAACCCCTAAAAACGTGTCGCCACCGAGCGAAAGTGTGGCCCACCGGCGGGCCACACGGTCGTCAAAGGGTTAAAGATGTTATCTAGAGAATGTACAATAGTACAAATACAAGAGACTTGTGAATGAAGAGCGCAAAAATTGGCTGGCATGGTTCTGATGCGCATGCGTGTCAGAACGTCCCATGCGGTCTGCAAGTTATGACGTCAAGCTGTCGTGTTAATAATCCCATCGTTTTCTACTCCTAATCTGGATTCTTAAGGGCTTGAAGACTATTGGGTGCCAGGCATTGGGTTGTTACATAATATCGTAGCGTTTAATTTCTACGTTTGAATTTAACCAGTGCGGGTTTTATCAGGAAACCGTCTATAGCATTATAGTATTAGGCGTTTCAAAAAGTTCTGTCGTTTTCTGACACTCCACTTTTGGATGCTTTATTTCCTTGAAATCTAGAAAGCTGCAATTGGTATGGATATCATTTTGAAGAGCTTTTCCTGCTCTATCCAATGCTTAGCTCAGCTTTGTCCTAAAACATTTTCTTATAGCTTTTTCAAAGCTTTGAATGCGGTATACTCGATGAGCAAGTTGGCATGACTTTCTTTTTCTAGCTTTAAATAGACCTGAAAGTAGCGGGAACAGTTCAAGATATTAACGATGCACTTGGCCTAGATTCGCAATAATGTGCTCTGTGCTATGCAGTACAGTGCGTTGCAAAATCTCCCCAAAAATATGAATATCTCGGCTTCTAGAAAAAGCCGTCTATCGCAACTGGTAGAATCAGAACCGCCTCTATAAAAAACCTATAAACAAGTAGCCAGATCATCCGAATAGTTTTCCGTATTTTTAGACAATTTTTTTTAGTTTTGTAGTCGTTGCAAAATCAAAGATTGCTAAGCTCAAAGAAAGAATAGCTCAAAGAGAACCATAGCTTGGTACTCTGAATTCTCACTACGAATAGAAATAAGAGTGCACCAGGATAAATAGCAGAAGTTCTCTAAAAGGATTAGCTATAACCTCGAAGATTACATCAAACAAAATCACCATGTACGGTCAACCTGTGTCAGCTCTACGAAAGAAAGAGGATAGAAATGAAATCCTATAGCAAAATCACTGATATGGACAAGGTCGGTGGTCGTTTTCTAAAGATGCGGTGATGCGTTACCTCATCCTGAGTTTCAGACCTGAAGTTTCTCTTGTCTGTTTCCAGTCAGACTCAGGGTCAACCGTTACGTTGGACCGATATTGGAGCGACGTTGGACCGATGTTCACCGCTCTCCGCGCCGGCATTCACTCTCGCCACCCGCGAGCCGTCTGTGTCTCCGTGCGTACGTTCACTCTCGGCATTACTCTCGTCGTCGCGTTGGACTTTGTCCAACGGACGGTTGACCCTGGTCAGACTGCCTAACGAGCATGGCAGCACGCTTCGCAGGACCCTACGCTAGTTGTCCATATCAGTGATTTTGCTATAGGATTTCATTTCTATCCTCTTTCTTTCGTAGAGCTGACACAGGTTGACCGTACATGGTGATTTTGTTTGATGTAATCTTCGAGGTTATAGCTAATCCTTTTAGAGAACTTCTGCTATTTATCCTGGTGCACTCTTATTTCTATTCGTAGTGAGAATTTGGAGCACCAAGCTATGGTTTTCTTTGAGCTCCTAAAAATGGCTTCGATGCTCATGGTAGAGCCATCAGGCGCGTATAAAAAGAAAGTCTGGCTTTCACTCGCGGAGGGAAAGGGAGCAACTCAAACCGTTAACTATTGCATTAACGCACTCTTCAGGGTTAAATTTATAAACATGTAACCTTTAAAGTTGAGAAACGCTAATCAATCACTTTTCTTAGAAAGAGAAAAGCAGTGATTCCAAATCTGCTCTTACTTTAGTACATAATCGCCCTTAAAGGATATACAGCGTTGAAATAGTGCCAATGTAGCGAAAAAGTACCTTTCGGCGGTACTCGGGCAAAAATCCTCAACGTGGCCATTTTTTAATACTGGACGTTTGGAGCAGTTCTAGTAATTTGATAGAGCAAATCTTCTAGTTTATGATGACGTATTAACTTTTCAGATTGGATGAGTTTGAACGGAGTTATGGCTTTGGAAAGCGTAAAAACTCGCACTCATCACGAATTTTCCTCGTTAATTTTGCAAAAATCCTCAACGTGGCCATTTTTTAATACTGGACGTATAAAGCTGCTTTAGCAACCGTTTGATAGAGAAAATCTTCTAGTTTTGTATGCCATATTAACTTTTCGAATTTGACGAAAATGAAGCAAGTTATTGCTTCGGAAAGTGTAAAAACTCGTGCTCATCTCGAATTTTCCTCGTTAATTGATCTAAATTTGTTATTTCTTATAAATTTTGTAATTTCATACTGATTAGAAAGAGCTCTTCACAAAACTCCCAAATCTGCTTTCAGATTGAAAATTCGTCATATTTGAAGAAAGTTATAATCATTTGAATATTTGTTCAAATTTCAATAGTAAATAAGCTGCTCCACGGTCAACGCCAAAGACCAGTCAACACACAGCTGGGGCGGTATTCAATCCTTCCCCCAGGGGGATATATCCCCCTACTCTGATTCAATCCTCTGGGGGGACAAAAAAGGGTTGCGTCATAGGACCTAGCATACCTCTGTGTTTCTACCTGCCAGACAGTTAGAGCAGCGCGACCCCTCAGGGAAAAGAGTGCTTCATCAGTGGAGGGAAAGACGTACCCACTTGGGCGGCTTCTTATAGAGAAAGGTTTACGCATTCGAATGGTTTTTCATTCAGCTTGAAAGGTTTACTTTAAGCCGAGATACATGCATTTAAAATTCGGGGTCGGAAAACGACAGAACTTTCTGACAACGCCTAATATTTTCACTGCTTTAAATACAATGATCTGTATGCCTGCAATTTTTCTGTAAAATCCAGCTGCATTTGAATGCGGGACTAAGAAAACGGAATAAATAGGCGGCAAAAGCAGCTTTTCGACAACTGTCATTCGATGGTGTTTATCAGGTTTAACACATTGACGCCCGCGCCGATTTCGGCGCATGTCACACATGTGTCATTGGCGGTATTGCGTGCGCGCATACTCGGCGATGCTTCAATCTCATATGTGGGACATTTCGTGCGTTTCCCTTACGGGACCCACATAACAGATTCGTCGGAAGGGCGCGGGAGGTTTCGTTCCCCTTTACCAATTAGAATTTTTCAAGTTTTGTTCTAGTTGTTGTTGCTTTAGTTCTTGTTACTACAGTTC